ACTAAGATCCCATAGCTTAATTAACGTGATTGTAGAACTTTTAGAATCACAAGCAGTAAGCTCAGCGTTTCATATGTGAAAATGATCTACTTGAAAAGTCAAATCAGTAAGGCCAATTAGCAGGATGCGAGAGTTTATTCACTTTTATTCACTTTAAGTTTTACAAATGATCATGGAGTGAGCTGTTCGAGGTGAGACATTCAGTCGAACTCTTTTTCGAAGCAGAACTTAGGCGGTTGAGGTGGTACTGGTGCACCAGGTCGTAGAACTCCAAGGAGAAGTGGAGGCTGGATCTTTCTGGGTGGTTCCTGCAATGTGAATCAATGAATTTTAGTGAAAATACTGGTATCCTGATAGTTCTTCGCATTCATGAATACAGATACTATTCATAAAATTGTTTTTGAAAGCGAATCTGACGGATGAGTATCTGCTCGTGCTGTTGATTCCTTAATGCAGTCATTACAAGTAAACGATTAAGTTGGCCTTATCAAGCTCAAAATAAAATGTTAAATCGCTGTGGTATCAATGAGTTTGAGCGTGGCAGTAGCTCGAGTTTGTTTGAAATTTGACAGATCCACACGAAAGTGTGCACCAGTGAATTCAAGAACACTTCAGGAAGACGCTGGGAAGTGAAGCACTTTAATGGAATGGTTAAAATGTCAAAAAGTGGCCAGTCATACATACCGCGGCCACCTTCTTCTCGAACTCTGCCTCCTTCGTCTTGAACTTCTCGACGTTCTCATTGAAACGGTTCAACTCTGCTTTATCGGCATCCGTCAGCTCACGTACGAATTTCTCTTTCTTATATAGTTTTTGACCCTTCAAAACAAAATATTGTACATACTTCACTAAAACCCATCATGCATAAGAAGAGCAGCAAATCCAATGTGAAGCGGCCAGTGATTTGTCTTTTATTCGCATGACAATCGCCTTCACAGTTCAAGTTAGTCACTGAATTTGAGCGAAGCAGAGGAACTGGATGACCCGTAAAGCATGGAACATCCATTTAGAACAGATGATCAGTATTTTGAAATTTTTGTGATTCTAGCTTATTCATTTACTTTTCTGGCGATTTTTTTTGATTAACGATTGAGATGTTATCAAAATTTTGAATAGGGAATGGTTGCTGCATGGTTATATCAAATAACTGGAGTCATTCTTGACTGAAATAATTTGAAATGCCTTGCTTGCGAGTAAAAAACAAACGTTGTCATATCTTACCAAAATAATGCACTGAGGGAATGTGTACATCTTCAGACTAGATCCTCCACAGAATGCTGGTGGTTGAGTGCAATTTGCCGAAAAATCGTTCTTCTGAAATGCAGCACGAACTCAATACTGATCAATCAATAAAGGTTAAGTGATCACTGATCACCGATCGAACAAATAATGCACTTAACAGCTACACATGCCACTTGCAGATCACAAACACTGGAACGATAATTTAATGCAAATGATTTTGCAGGAGCCAAATCATTAGTTCGCAATTTTGAATATTTGCAGTATGCGAGGAGTTAAAGAATATCATCACATGATTTCATAACATTCACGTTAACGTACGACATCAATTGGATTTTCACGCGACCACTTCACAGCAGCCAGAGCATCTGGCTAATCATACTGATGCGAAACGCATTTTGAATAAATCGCAAGTTAAAATTTTTTATTATGATAGTCACGAAAATATTGCTGTCGATTCATTACTTCACCGCATTACAATCCAGGCTGTCTACCGATGAATACATCTGAATAAACAACAATATTCGTTAGTATATGAAGTTCAAATGAACCTTGTGGCAATCCTCAAGTCGTTTCTGGTATGCCTCTCCTTCCTCTTTCTCGTTTTCTTCAAGCGTCCGCCATGGTAGATTACCAAGGTAGATTTCACCATTCTGAAAAATTGTTGCATCGTTGGAATGCCAATCGAAAATTCAGCGAAATTCAGACAAAACTGAACGTATTGAGTTTTGATCTCAGCATTCAGTCAATATGATCGATTGTACGCTAATCGTGCGATTTTCAGCAATGTAAAGAGAAAGGCTCAAAATTTCAATTAACCTTTAATGTGCATGGCAAAGGACCTGAGGACATGCCGTAAAGGAATATTCCATTAGCGCCATTAAACGAGCACAAAACGATGAGAATAGAAGAGAACCTTAAATCAATCGAAATTATCCTTGCGATTGAACTCGTTGAAAGTCTCTAAAATTCAAGCTCAGACACTCCAAAATGACTTCCAATCGATGGCTTCGGTCTATCTCATGAAGAATAAAATTGCCTGTGAACATTGAAAGGTTCCTAAAAATGCTATAAACGCAAGTGATAATCACATTCACTTGTAAGCACTAAAAAGTCTTCTGAGGATGCTGAAAACTGCTCGAATTTATTCATAAGCTGAACGCTTTCACATGGCAATCAGATTATTTCTAAGTAAAACAATTAATTTGCAAAATATTCTTACTGTTAGTGAACTATTGAAATGAAATAAGTAACTTACAAGAGTAAGGTGCGCATCGTCTGCCTGATCGAACAAATGTATGAAACACTGTTTCAGTCTGAAAACAATGCATTAATTTTCTTCGAGAATGATGAATTTCTCGAGAATACTGCTCTCATATGACCGACTAGTTATTGTACAAACAGATTTGAAACATTCATCAAAATGTCATCAATACAGTCGGAACGAGAGGAAGACGAAAAATCAAACCGTTGGAATGTGAACTTTCCAAACAAATAAATATTCTCGATATTAACTATGAAATGGGCGTTTGACGAAAAAGTTTATGGATCCAGACTTTGAAACATGAAACCATTTGTCATGCAACCAAAAACTCATCGACCAAAGCTTGTATGATTTTATCTCATTATGTGAGGTTTTTCAACTCTTTTTCAAATTTTCAAGATAATAATTTGATGATAACTTTGAAGAAAGCAGACGCACTAATTTCAACTCTTTGGAAGAAAGTAAACACCCCAAAAAAATTCGGCTGCGATCCCAGGCAAAACATGAAATACTTGTATTTTGGAAACTAGCTGGGTTTTCATTCATATAAAAGTTTATTATGCAAATCGTTGAAATTGGCAGGTCATACAGCTAGGCAAGAGTCGATCAACAATCGCTATTTTTATGTGTTCACAGCTATCTTTCCAAAAATCACAGAAAATATTATTGTTTGTGTATTGGTATAGGTAATAGTGAACTAAATATTGTCATGAATCATGAACACCATCATCAAACGCACACAACATACGGGGGAGCCTCATAAGTTGGCCTAGTACAACCGAAATAAGCCTAATATCTGAGCTATCCGAAGGATCTATCATATCCTGTATTAGGTAAAAGAATGAGCATCAGTTGAATTTCAACTAAACTGAACGAAAAATTTTCTTCTCATGCAAATATTGATCTTCCTTCTCAAAATGAGAAACCCTGTTTATCAAAATTTTATTTCGTAGAGCATAACGTCGATCCTTTCCAATGTTTGCAGCGATTATCTATGCAATAAAGACTTANATGAGCATCAGTTGAATTTCGATTAAGCCGAACGATATTTTCTTCTCATGCAAATATAGATCTTCCATCTCAAAAATAAGAAACTCTGTTTATCAAAATTTTATTTCGTAGAGCATAACGTCGATCCTTTCCAATGTTTGCAGCGATTATCTATGCTATAAAGACTTACGACTGCACAATCGCACGTGAGCTAATTTCTTGCCCAGTTTATGGAGGAAGAAAAAAAATACCCATTGGATAAACTTCATGATGAAAATGGACACCCAAACAACTCTTTAATCAAACAGACTTCTTTATCAGGATATGGCCTATAGTAAAATCCAGAATAAGATCATTCGCCAGCAACTCAAAGAGCTCGGATCCTCCTCATTGAAAGGAAAAAGCCAATGGATAGTGCTGAGGAAAGTGATCACTTTTATATGAAAATAACGCTTCGTTGGATAACACTAGCTGTTTGGGAACCACAAAAGCGGAGGTGTTCATATGGAGAGACATAGAAGAGAATATTTCACAGGTGGATCGGTGCTATCGATCACGCAAAACAAATGAGCACTTCGAATGGCAAACAAACCAGATTTGCCCTTAACACTCCAACAATTTCACTGTATTTTGCGACGGTTTTGCTGGAATTTCCATCAAATGATTCATCATCATCACATTCCAAAAGCAATTTTGTACTGTTGATCAGTCATTTTACACTGTTTGAATTGGATCGACTATTTGGAATGAACTCAATTACGCATTGCTAAATTGTTTTGTTGAATTGAACTAGCAAGTTCGAAATCAAGCGAAGCGGACAACAGGAAAGTGATAAAAACGAGTGAAATTGAAATTTTGAAATTGTGAGCAGAAAAACTTTAGTGAATAGTTAGTTGATCAAGTGACATCATCTGATTTGAGCACTTTAGAAACTTTAGAGAATTCAAAAAAATTGCATTCTTGACTTTCAAAAAGTTGGAACAGTTGTCAAAATATTTTATAAATGAATCGATTTGATAAGTTTGAACCGCTTTGAGGCCTCAGGAACGATGTTACACACTGAAAGATATGAGTGAAATACGCTGAGATTAGTCGGAACATTTCTCCATAGTCACTGCTAACAAGTAACGGTCGTTAGGTGATCCGATGAACGAATAGTAAAGATAAATGAAATTTTTTCGTTACTATATCAAAGCGTCGACATGATTCGGCGCTCAACATTCAGCCTTAAGTCGACAATTCTTATCTGTGGAGTCTGAAACAACAAAAACGAAAAACAAAAACAAGAACGAGTGATTTATCGTTGAATGCAATCAAATTTGTCCGCAACTCGATTCAAAAATGCGTTTCGTCCAGGGGATGATTCGTGATTGCTCACGATTAGCTAATCAAATTGAATCTGGCGAGTGGACCGAAACGAATGAATTTGTTTTGGTGTTATTGTTGTGTTATTCAATTGCAGACTTTATAAAATTTGTTTTTCAGCGCTGAAAAACACAGTGGAACCATTATGTCGGCGAAGCGCTTCCGACATTGAATCGTTTCTGAGTTGTTGAAGTAACTAATGATCAGGTTGCCCGGCAGTTGTCTGTGATGAAGCTTCGCAAACCACAATAAACAACATCAATTTCTCATTTTCATCACTCTAATGATTCTTCTTGCAATGCAGTCTGCACATTTGATACTAATCAGCTACTAAAAAACATGTTTTCGAGATGATTTGTGCGTCATCAGTAGAGATTTGGCCTCTCGACTGAGGATGTTGCTCAACTGATCAGTTAAATTGATTATGCTCGGCTCATGTTCAGCCAGTCGCTAACTGGACTCAGCGTTTACAAAACATCACAAATCACCAGTTCTTCGTCAATCACATTGACTAACGATTGAATCTGCCGGAAAAATCAAATTTTCTTCGATTAAAGTGATATGTTCATCACCAGCAATGACTAAGTGTTGTGGAAAATAAGATAGTTCGAACAACAATAAACACAACGGCATGTTTACTGTAAGGTGATTCGTCGTGCCTCATTAAACTATTCAAGTGGTCTTTGGTTGTTAGTTTTATTCATTTGTTTTGTTTTCATGATGACTCATTTGTTTTCTTTGATTTTGTGATGATCGCCTCATTGGTAAATAGTGCAATTGTGATCTATCTGCCCTATACGACTGTAATTTCACTAAACTCTTTATAAAAATTTGTAGAAGAATGATGAACGCGAATCTCAATTTATTTATTAAGTCATTAGTTCAACTACTCGAACAAGTCTACAAGATGCAAGAGGAGGATACTCTCATCGCTAATTTTTGATTATTAATCTGCTCTTGTCAATGACAATTGATGGATTCTTTAAGATAAGACGTGAACATGCACCCAAGCATATAAAAACTGAACGACGTAGTTATCAATTAATCTTCAATGAACTCAAATTTATCTTCTTGAACACGAACAGGAAGTTGCTTCGAGCAGTGAGAATGAAGAAAAATTCAAGAAACGACGATATGAAGCTGAACAGGATGAACAAAAGTTTAATGGAATGTCGGAATAAAAACATGGAGTGTTCTCCAAAAACATTACGCAGAATTTTCTGTGTCATTAAATTGTGAAGAGTTCACCATATAGTAAGAAATCTATTTATTGCAAATGAAATCGAAACATCAGTTGTGATGAGAATTAATTCGAACAAAATGTTGGTTTGAGTTTCGATGGATCTGCTCGCTGGTGACGTGATCGGATTTGTTGCTAGAACATGAATTACATCAGAAAGCTACAAGAGAATTTCATTGAACAAAGTAAGCAGACAGAAATAATGCGATTTGTTTAATGCGATTTGTTTGAGTGAGCAGTTGATCCTGTGCTCTTTTTGGCAGTTCGTAAAAAGTTTTAGAAACTGCAACTGTCACCGGAATAGTGAACAATCATAACACAGTGAAGTGAAGTTAGGGCCCAAGTTCGTCCCAAAAATGCATTGAACAAATTTTAGAATT